TTGTTTGTCTACATCGCCTTTCTAGCATTTTCAGGAATGAAAGACTTCAAAATTATCACAAGTAGGCTATTCTCTGAAATACACACTCTTGAGCAGGGGTCCTCAAACTTTTTAAACAGGGGGCCAGTTCACTGTGCCTCAGACCTGTTGGAGGGCCGGGCTATCGTTTAAAAAAACACTATGAACAAATTCCTATGCACACTGCACATATCTTATTTTGAAGTAAAAAAACAAATGGGGTAAAAACACCCAGCAGGCCAGATAAATGTCCTCGGCGGGCCGCATGTGGCCTGCGAGCCGAGCTGTAGTTTGAGGACGCCTGCTCTTGAGTGTTCAGCAAAAATACCAGCCTACTGACATGTTTTAAAGTGGCAAAGTAATGGCATATCCAGTGCTGGCAAAATGGAGTTCGAGACCATGAACAGATATACCAGCCCAGTGAACTAGAATGTTTTGTCCCATCGGACTGTGGTGCTGTTGTCCACTGGCATGTTCTTCACTGCCTGGTTCTTTGTTATGAGGAAACCTTCACCAGGTACACACAGGATTATCTACAAAGACTTCCTCGTCGTGTTGGCCCCACTCTTCATGGGCTTTGGGGTCCTCTATCCGGGAATCTACATATAATACCACCACCTCCCACGGTCCCAACCAGGGGGTCTCACTGAATTTCTGCTTTTGTAAATTAGATGTGTTTTGTTTATTTTTCATTATTGCTGAAAGTATCTCATTTGTTGCTAATAATAAAAGCAGTGGCATGACATGTAAAGGGGCATCAGAAGAGAGTAAAGCCATCAATGAAATGGACTGACACCATGGATGCATCAATGGTCTCAGCCATAGGAACAATTGTGAGGATGGCTCAGGACCAGGCAGTGTTGTGCAGAGGGTCCCGATGGGTCAGAACCAGCTCGATGACACCTAAACAACAGTGAGACACGCTGAAGCTATCTACTTCTTTTCTTCTTTTGATTTTTCTACATTTTATTATTTCAGACCAGGTAACAATTCCATAAAATATGTGGGAAAAGCATGGAAGTGTTCGATGCTGAAGACCCCAGGTCTGGGGTGGAGGCACAAGCGGCCAGAGCAACAGTGGTGCTATAGGAAGTCTATAACGAGCTACACTTAGGTTAATGAAGTCAGGGCCCATGACCGCTGGGAGGGGCCCTCAGTGGCGGTAGCAGTTGTCCGGAACAGCCCTTGGAACCCAATCCTGGGGAGGGCAGGGCAAGGATGCTGTCCCCACAGGGGGACAGCTAGCAGAAGAATGGGTGCAAACATGCAGACACATTCCAGGCAAGGAATCACTGGAAGGGTGCACAAGTGGGTGGCGCTGGTCAGAATCTGACAGTTTTAAATAGTATTCTCTAAAATGATTTCTACTTTTTCCCCCCCTTCACTTTTTTTTTTTTTAAAGCAAATATGCACAGGTGGCCCTCAGGAACGGTGGCACCTCACAATTCTTGTGCTTTTTCCTTTGGGGCTTCCAACAATTAAGGCAGGGTGGGGAGGGCAGGAGGCTCCCTGTAAACATTTGGATTTGGGCTGCATTGGGGGTGAAGCCATCTTCATATAATGACATGGAAATAATATAATACTCGATTTTGGTCCAAAATATTCACCATTATACAATGAAATAGGGACTATTAGAGACAAAACCCATAATGGCTTTTTTCATAGGTTTAAAATTCCAAAACAATATTCATTTTCAGAATAAAATGTAATTTATGAAGCTAAAAATACACCTATACAATCTTTCACAAAGAAAAAAGGGCATAAAATCAAGTCAGCTTTCTACTCCAAGTAAACTAAGGAATGAGCACATATGAGTCTGTGGTTTGCTCTTTATAATTTGTTAGACCCCTAAGTAAAAATGTACTGGAGATCCTGGTATGCTAGGACCCTAATAGCCTCTAACACAAAATCAAATATAAATAAAGGCCCATCATATGCCAAATCACAAAAGATTTGTGTTTTAAGAGACAAGTTCAAACATATCTATGTAAGAGAATAACACTTCATACATCCAGGACACAGGTATCTAAGATCTCCGTGTTAATACACACACGAAGATCTGTACCACAGTACTGTATTATGTTCTAACAGGTACAAAGGATCCCCAGTTAACCCAGTTCTAGGTAAGCAGCCCACCTAATATCTCCTCTGTCCCATCTCCTGCCATCACACGAGGTAATTATGACAGCCATACTCATGACATGTGGCCACACTTCACTTCTTGTTACTTCCCTTTCCCTTCAACAGCACTGAGACTGTGAAATGTTGTCTTTGCTGTGATAAACTGCACTATGGGCTTTCCCTGCTTTCTACAACCTTGTCTTCTTGATGGTCTCATTATCCCAGTACACCAAGCCTCCTGAAGGTTTTCCTTCTTATCAACCCCAGTTTAGGCACTCAAAATCACATCCCCACACTATCTCAAGCAGTGTAAAATTGCTTCGCAATTCATCTGTCTTATCAATTCCAAATCTGGATCAACCCAACTATCTTTTTTTTGCCCCCTTGATCTTAAGCTGTCTGAGAAAGGGAAAAACCTCATGCTATTGGGCCTCATTACAAACACACTACTGCTAATGTTAGCAGGCCCTTCTATGAGATTAGTCAGCAGCAATCCTTTTTGTTTTGTTTCTATCCGTTTTCATTCTCATTGCAGATTTCCATGTCACAAGACTCAACCCAGAAACTCATTAGTTCCTTTAGTCTCCAGCAATAGTCTACTCCACAGTAACTGGGCACATCAAGAAAATAGGGCCAGCAATGAGTGAACAAGTGTGCTATACACAATTGATGTGTGTATGGATTGTGATAAGAGTTGTATGAGCCCCTAATAAAATGATAGAAAGAAAGAAAGAAAAGAAGACCATTTGTCACCTTGCTATCTTTTTGGTAGCAGTACAAAAGGTAGAGAATAAAGTGCCAACACATATTTCCTAAGTAAAGCTTCTCCACAATCTACAAAATTAAATTCTACCCATCTGAAGAGGCTTCCAAAAGTTTGTGGAAGAACGGAATTAAAAGATCCTGAGATTTTCCACAAACTTTTGGAAGCCCCATCATATTACAAAGAAAAACACACATGTGCTAAAGTGGAAAGAACGTAAGCTTCAGAGATAGGCAGACCTTGCTGAAATCCTTGCCTACAATCTTCCCAACTGGAAAAGGGGGATACTGAAACCACAAATCTGGTGTGATCTGTGTAAAACAGCATCTCTATAGTACCTGGCACCTAGTATCCTCTATTCTCAATAAAGATTAGTTTCACCACTGCCAGCTTTCCTTCACAACCATGTGTTGACAAAGGAATCTGCTTCCCATTTACTCAATATATCATAATCTAGCTATTGCCAATATTGCCACCACCATACTACCCAACCTGCCTTTCAAAGCTAATTACTAAATTCAGCAGTATTTTTCCCAATCCTAAATCAACTTGACCTCTGGAGCACCTGACACTGATGTTCACTCTCCCTTCTTGAAACCCTTTCTTCCCTTGGCTTCTGTCACAATGCCATTCTGTTCCAGTTCTTGTCCCATTCTTTTATCCTCTCATGTTCAGTGTGTCTTAGTGTTCAAACAATGATGTCCCTTCGGGTCCACAGTTAGGTCTTTTCTGCTATTCTTTGTGTTAAAACCATTTCATATTCATACTAAAGCTTTAAATTTCACCCATATATTCTCTCTTGGCTTCCAAATACACGTATTCAGTTCTAAGTTTTCTCTCAGTTTTCAAACCCAGTTAACCACAATGATATCTCAAACGTACTTCAAACTCAGCTCATCCATAAACAAAGTCATCGCTGCTGCTGCTGTTAATTGCCACCTGGGTGGACTCTGACTCCAAGTTTGTGACCTTTCTGAAGATCACCAGGCTTTATCTCTGATGCGCCTCTGGGTGGGTTTGAGCCACCAACTTTTCAGTTAGCAGTCCAGTGCTTAACCACACCACTCAGGGTTTATCTCCAAATTCATGGCCTTCCTAAAACGGCTTCTCTTGATCCTTATTTCAATTCACACTAACAGCTATCCCATCAGCCAAATCAGAAACCTCTCTTTCATCCTTCCAACTGTTTTCCAAACATCTTGGAATTGTGTGCCCTTCTTTGCCACTTCCCCGGCCTGCCCCACTTCATCTTCTCACCTGGATTAGCACACTAGTTTCCTGCGGCGGCTTCCTGCCACCACACTTCACCTTGAGTCTTCACTTTCAATTCTCTCTCTGCTCTCACCAAGGTAATCCAAACTCCCGCTTACAAAACCTCCACTGGACCCCCATGCCAACAGAATCAAGTCGGCATTCTTGAACGAGCTTTTTCTTAAGGGTAGCTATTGAAATGTTTTCAAAGTTGACCGACCTGGGTTTCGTTTCTGGCTAAGCAAGAATACTGGCTTAGCCTGGAGTCTATAACAAGTGGAGGCTAAGCAGCAGGGGATGGAAAATGGGGACGGTGCGGGCGAAAAGAGGGAAGTCCTCTGGAGAGAGAAGATGCAGCGGAGGGGGGCGTTCTGGGGAGCAGAGTGTGTTTGGGGG